TTAGGATAATTTTAATTGCGGTCATTTTTTAGCCCTCGTGGAGGGAAATACGACTGGTGAGTTTTGACCCATTTCCAGAATTTTTCCGGATTTGCCGAGTTTTTGTGACACCCTTAGGTGTTCTCTTACCACCTCACAAAATATCAAGGAGGGGGGGGGGGGTCGTCCGGCAGAATTTTTTTTTCGTTTTAAAGCTCAAATAAGGAGAATTTCACTCGCAATTATCTTTTAGACCTTGTCGTGGGCTTTGAGTCAAACTGACAGTTTTTCCTAAAGGTCAAGCCATTTACCTAGAAGCATGCAAACAATTAGCCAAATAAACTGAGTTTAATTACCCTAAAATCCGCGTTGAAACGACCCTCTGTTTTTCCTATAAAATACAAAGATTATATTGGGAAATTCAACTGGTCAGTTTTGACCCATTTCCAGATTTATTTTTTTCCGGACATGGCAAGTTTTTTCTAACACCCCTAGCTGTTCTCCTACCTTATCACAAAATATAAAGGGGGGTCGTTCGGCAAGAAATTTTTTCGTTATATAGCTCAAATATGGAGATTTTCACTCGCGGTCATGTTTAAGCCCTCGTCAAGGGCTTTGAGTCAAACCGACAGTTTTCCTAAAAGTTCAATCCATTTATCTAGATGCATGCCAAAAATTAGACAGATGTACAAACGGTAAGTGCCCTGAACTCTGTGTTGAAATTACCCTCTGTTTTTTCACATAAAATACAAAGATTATATAGAGAAATACAACTGGTCAGTTTTGACCAACTTGCAGATTTTTCCCGGATATGCTGCGCTTTTTGTGAATCCTAGGCAATCTCCTGCCATCTCTCAAAATATCAAGGGGTCGTTCGGCACAAGTTTTTTTTCGTAATATAGCCCATATAAGGCGCCGGTCAGTCGAGGTCAGTTTTGACCCCCCCCCCTATTCGTGGACTTTTCAGCCAAAAGTCACATGCCCTCCTGTTCTGTCGCCCCAAGGCATCATCGTGCCAAATTTGACGTGTCTGCGGCGCCGGGATGTTCCCTATCGGGCACCTGACCACTTGGTTTTATATATATAGATTAGCCATCAGCACCCGTTTCATGTGAATTATAGGCCTATATATTTTAATTTTAAAATGTTGTACTTGTTTGAGAAAAATAATTTATGAAATAGTTATTGGTCAAAACGCAATGTGCTTTACTACACGCTGAACGATATTAGTGACAAAGAAAGTAAATAACTAATTAGCTAAAAATCCGATACATTTAACATAACACAGGCACACACTGATTCAGTGACTTAAATGATTCCGTTAAAAATCTGGCTATTCAATGGTCATTGTGTTGTTTATAAGTAATTTGTATTAGTTCGACCGATAAAATTGTATATATTTCATAGCGTACGTCTTGATGAGTAGATCTATACATCTAGATCTAAATCAAATTTGAATGAAGTAGTTCCTTTCTTTATGGTCTAAAATCGGAAGATTCACGTATAAAAAAATAAAAATAAAAAAAAGTTTGACTTGGTGTGTCTCGACACCGCACCACCTGCGTGGTGTTAAGTACACTATCATCTCAGTTATTTATGCACCTTAAAAATTATGGAGAATGAAATACATATTTAAAAAGTTAAACTTACGCGAATATGCCTATTTTTTTCAAATTAATTTTTTGTATCCCAAATTAGCAAGTTCCATAGTTAAACAAACAAAGATTTCTATAAAATATGTTTACACCAGTGTCCGATAATGGACTCTTCTTTTAAAAAGGGTGTTAGGTAACTGGTAGTTAACTAAATACACACTTGGCTGGCTAATGTCAATGCTAAACCTGTCCCTAACCCTAACCCCAACCCTAGTCCTACCATACGCCTAACACTAATTTCTAGCCATAAAATTAGTCGAGATTACAATACTACTAACAACCCAACACCCCTTTTTTAAAAGAAGATTCCATTATCGGACACCGATATCTATAATCATCAGTCTAGATCGTAGCGACTTATTGTTTACGTCTAGTTTTTGCGTAGATTTAGATCTAGTCTACATCTAAAATATCTAGATCTAGAATCCAAATAGATAAAATAAATTTTATAAGTGTCTGCCGGAATTGCATTGTATACATTTCACAGCTTAAGTAGATCTAGATCTAAATCAAATTTGAATGAAATAGTTCATTTCTTTTTATTCTAAACTCGACAGATGACGTCATTAGTTAATGTATAAACATTAGTGACGTCATTGTTTCATGGGTTCTTTTTCACAACTATAAACTATAAACGCTTTTCCTGTTCCATAATTGAAACTGTTTTTCTACATTCAAATATGCCTTTATTTTTTTCTTCTTTAAATAAAATGTTGGTTATACATTTAAAACATCTACCATATTATTTTCAACCAAAGTCCGTATCAAGTTCTACATATATCGCTGCAAATTCTTATGTTTATATCCGGAGAAAATATTTTGCGGACAGAGAGAGAGAGAGAGAGAGAGAGAGAGAGAGAGAGAGAGAGAGAAGTGCGCACATGGGCTTTTATATATTAGAATAGATAGACAGATAGGCATTATCGTATACCCCACCCGTACCTAGATCTATTAAAGTTTATTTATTTATTTTATCAGGGTGTTGAAACGGTTACTTTAACCGTAACTCTAAATTACTTACAACTTGCTTAGAACACAAAAAAAGTAATGATTATTCTTGATACCTAGAGATCAATTGCCCAGCAGAATTTACTTTCCCTAACTTGAGTTAGGTACTTATTAGAGTTGGGTGGACTAAGGGATATTATAATAACTTTAACTCAGATTCTCTCTGCCATAAGGCCACGCCGTCCTTTACAAAGTAAAGATAATTCTTTTATAGTTTTTATTCGAAGGTCAATCTAAAAATGAAGAATTATTGTTTAGAAATATGTTCACAGCCTAAAAAGTTCAAGTAGTTTTACCTATTTGGAAATATAATTTTTTTTTTAAATTAAGCTAATCAACATCGATGCAGGGTTATTCCTTTCAGTTATGCTGCTTTATGTCTTCATCTGATTCAACATGTGCGGCTTTTTTTTGCATTATTATAACAGTTCAGATAATAAAGATGTATTTTTATGAACACAAACTTATCACGACACACTTTTATTAATACAAATACCAATAACACACACACACACAAATATATATATATATGTATATATATATATATATATATATATATATATATATATATATATATATATATATATGCATATCAAATAAAATAACCAAACATTTAGGCTCTGAATGTTAAATACGAAAATAATTATCGTTTGGTTTTAGAAGATCTTAGTCTCCTGATAGCAAACTTTACCTCCCCCCCCCCCCCCCCCCAAAAAAAAAACAACTATTTTATGTAATCACATACAATATTAAAATATTTGCACTAAAACTATTTTGAAAGAATAGAGGATCAGTAGTTTCGCATCTTCAACATGTCCAAAAATGGAAATTAGAAAACGTTAGCAAAAGCAAGTACAAGCAGGTCACTTGGCACACTTAGTTTTGGCGCGACTTTTTTTTTAAGAAACGAAATAAAATCGGCTCAAACATGTTTGTCCAATAAGTCATATATCGATCGTATATGTTTATGCGTCTCCATATATTATTTTGTCTGTTTCAAAATTAACAGTTTACTTTAACATAACGTAACGTACCGTACCGTACCGTACCGTACCGTACCGTAACGTAACGTAACGTAACGTAACGTAACGTAACGTAACGTAACGTAACGTAACGAAACGTAACGTGACGTAACGTAACGTAACGTAACGTAACGTAACGTGACGTAACGTAACGTAACGTAACGTAACGTAACGTAACGTAACGTAACGTGACGTAACGTAACGTAACCTAACGTAACGTAACGTAACGTGACGTAACGTGACGTGACGTGACATGACGTAACGTGACGTGACGTGACGTAACGTGACGTGACGTAACGTGACGTGACGTAACGTGACGTGACGTGACGTGACGTAACGTGACGTGACGTAACGTAACGTAACGTAACGTAACGTAACGTAACGTAACGTAACGTAACGGAACGGAACGTAACGGAACGTAACGTGACATGACGTGACGTGACGTATCGTAACGTAACCTAGCATAGCATAGCACAGCATAGCACAGCATAGCACAGCATAGCACAGCATAGCACAGCATAGCACAGCATAGCACAGCATAGCACAGCATAGCACAGCATAGCACAGCATAGCACAGCATAGCACAGCATAGCACAGCATAGCACAGCATAGCACAGCATAGCACAGCATAGCACAGCATAGCACAGCATAGCACAGCATAGCACAGCATAGCACAGCATAGGACAGCATAGCATAGCATAGCATAGCATAGCATAGCATAGCATAGCATAGCATAGCATAGCATAGCATAGCATAGCATAGCATAGCATAGCATAGCATAGCATAGCATAGCATAGCATAGCATAGCATAGCATAGCATAGCATAGCATAGCATAGCATAGCATAGCATAGCATAGCATAGCATAGCATAGCATAGCATAGCATAGCATACGCACAGCATACGCACAGCATACGCACAGCATAAGCACAGCATAAGCACAGCACAAGCACAGCACAGCACAGCATAGCACAGCATAGCACAGCACAGCACAGCACAGCACAGCATAGCACAGCACAGCACAGCACAGCACAGCACAGCATAGGAAAGCATAGGATAGCATAGGATAGCATAGCATAGCACAGCATAGCACAGCACAGCACAGCATAGCACAGCATAGCACAGCATAGCACAGCATAGCACAGCATAGCACAGCATAGCACAGCATAGCACAGCATAGCACAGCATAGAACAGCATAGCACAGCATAGCACAGCATAGCACAGCATAGCACAGCATAGCACAGCATAGCACAGCATAGCACAGCATAGCACAGCATAGCACAGCATAGCACAGCATAGCACAGCATAGCACAACATAGCACAACATAGCACAACATAGCACAACATAACAGAACATAACACAACATAACACAACATAACATAACATAACATAACATAACATAACATAACATAACATAACATAACATAACATAACATAACATAACATAACATAACATAACATAACATAACATAACATAACATAACATAACATAACATAACATAACATAACATAACATAACATAACATAACATAACATAACATAACATAACATAACATAACATAACATAACATAACATAACATAACATAACATAACATAACATAACATAACATAACATAACATAACATAACATAACATAACATAACATAACATAACATAACATAACATAACATAACATAACATAACATAACATAACATAACATAACATAACATAACATAACATAACATAACATAACATAACATAACATAACATAACATAACATAACATAACATAACATAACATAACATAACATAACATAACATAACATAACATAACATAACATAACATAACATAACATAACATAACATAACATAACATAACATAACATAACATAACATAACATAACATAAATGATTGGCTTTGCGCCAACAAATATGTTATTCCTTCCAACTTTGTATAAAACTTTTACAAATGTCATGAAGCCATAAAAAAAATAACCTTACCAAATATAAAAAGTTTGCTTTTAAGTTGAATTGTAAATTTACTAGTCTAATTCAAACAAGCATAATCACATTAAAAAATATTATGCATCGAGTGTCTTCGATACGGATTTTAAAAATGCCTTCAGCAATACAAGCTTTAGAGGTCATAGAAAATACATATAAGCGCCAATTTAAAATTCACGTTTAAACTTGTTTGGGATTAATCAATAGTCGTACTGTTACGTTTTTCAAGAAAATATCTAAGACCCGCATTGTTTAGAAATTCTCAGTGACGTCAAACATAGCTATAAATTGGACAGCCGCTTAGACACGAAGCGTCGTCGTAGCGCAGTAAGTAGTCGTTTATTTTTAATAAAATGATCTATTGTAAATTTAGTTAAACAATCTTACACATTACTGTACAGATAGAAATAGCAAAGCAATAATACAATATAATTTGTTTGTAGTAAAGTTTAATTTTGTTTTAATTTGATAAAACAAAATTTGAACATTTGTCTTACCTCGATAAAATATAAAGAAACATATTTCAAAAACTTAAATTATATTAAAATTGCTTTAATTATTGATTCATTATTTTATATTAATATGTTTAAAATGCCCATAGAGTAAAGCAAATGAAGTTAGATCTCTTAAATTTTGTCAATAAGAATCTTCTCTAGATAGAGTATTTATTGAATTAACCGGCGTGTACATCTTTGTTGTTATCAAATGTATTTAATTAAGAAGTTCAAAAAAAGATGAGACTGTCTTAGGCCTTTTTATAGTATAAGAAGTTAATACGGAGATATGAGTCTGACGTCTGACACACTCCCAAGATGCCTGACTCCAGCTTAGCAAGACAACGCTCACATATTCAGCGTTCCATATCATAGCACCTGTGATAGATTAAACATAACTGAACCAAAACTAATCCTACAAATTTAAGTTTAACTCTTAGTTTATTTGATAGCAGCTAAGTGAAATAACACCTAATGAATCCACACATATATAAAAATATGTGTTTTTAATATGCCGTACACCTACTATATCCCATTTGACCCAGATTCATTACCAAAACAAGACTATAGGTATGTAAATGTTTCGTTTCGCTCGATCTGAAGTTCTTTCGGCTTTGTTTACACTGGTCGGGCAGTTGCGATTGAGACATTTTTGGTTTTTTTTTTGTTTGTTTTTTTGTGAAAATTAATAAAATTCAAATGCCGTGTTTCTTTTCAAGACAATTTTTAAAAAAAATTTCAGGTAAGTAATTATACCTAAAAATAGGTTGTTTGTATACTATTTTGCTATATTTGTGCTAATAATATTAAATTACGGATTGTAGCCATTTTGAAACATTATGAAAAGTAACATATCAGCTGTAACTTATGTTTATTGAATATTCTGTAGTATAGTTATTAGTTGACTCAACATATCCTAACGTCTAGTATGTAGAGTCTTGTCACATGTTTGTTCTTCCACTAGCTTTATTTTGTTTTTGTTTTAAAATTTTTATAATAATAAAATGTAAATTATAGGAACAGGGCATTACCCCCGTAAATTTCTCCACGGACATTACTCCCCGGAGTAATTACCCTCCTGTCAATAACCCCCCCGTAGGACATTACCCCTCGCAGCACTGTTTAAGGTACTACTAGGGCTAGGGTTAGGGTTAGGGCTAGGGCTAAGGCTAGGATTTTGGTTAACAATAGTATTAGAGTTATGGCTATGGTTATGGCTACGTGCGGCGTCAAAACGGCCAATGACAAAACGGCCCCGTCAAAACGACCCCGACAAATCGGCCCCGACAATCAGGCCCCGTCAAAATGACCCCGTCAAAAGGGCCAGCGACATATGGACCCCGTTATATAGGCTCAAAAAGGCTCCAGTTATATAGACAAAAAGGCTCCAGTCAATAAGGCTCCTGACAAATAGGCTTCCGTCATTTTGGCTCCCGACATATAGGCTCCCGTCATTTATTTTTTTCCACAAAACGACCCCCATCATTACGACTCCCGACAAATAGGCTAGCGTCATTTTGGCTCACGACAAAAAGGCTCCTGTCAATATGGCTCCAGACAAAAGGACCACTGACGCAGTGGCGTAGCTACCGTAAAGCTAGCGTAAGCAAGGCTTAGGGGCCCTATGCACATAGGGGCACTTTTCCCTCATAAAAAATTAAAACTTTTACAATGGAATTTTAATATTTGTTACATATAAATAATTTTAAAAAAGAAAAAGGTTAAAGTTCCAAAAAACGCCCCCCCCCCACCGTTTCGGCAGTGGGTTATAATAACACTACAGGCGATATCACTTTGTCGTGCAAGACATTGAGAGAATCAGCCTATAAGTAAACTTTTTAGCAGTAGTAGGCAAACATAATAATATAGTATAAATACATAATCAGGACATATAAAATACAAAATGTTGCCTTCAGAATATTTATATATTAAAAAATATCCATCGTAAGTAGAAGTTGATCTCTTCGTTTAACTCCCCTGTAGCCTAACGCAGAGGCGTAGCGAGGGCGGGGCGGGGGGTGCGGGGGGGTGCGGACCGCAACGGGTGACACCATTTAGGGGGGTGACACCAAAGGCAAAAAATTGCAAAATTTATAGAATGAAATGCCATTTTCCAGATCCATTAGTTAAAGTTAAATAGTCTTCTAACTACAAATTGAAAATTATATCAAGAGGGGGGGGGGGAGTGACACCACGACGTAAACGTAAACTATAAAGAAAACAATCCTACATCCAACTGTATTATAAACAGACTGTAAAGAAAACAATCCTACATCCAACTGTATTATAAACAGACTGTAGATAAACATCGTTACTATTAAGTCTGCAGTGATTAAAGCTTAAACACGTACGTGTACCAGTACGTGGCATATATATAAATTTTAGGCCTATGTAGGCCGACACACACACACACACACACACACACATACACACACACACATATGACACCCGACCTAGCAACGCCACTGGCTCAACGGCTGACGAAGGGGCCCACTGATAATTTTTGTATAGGGGCCAAATATTCCTAGCTACGCCACTGCACTGACAATACCGTTTCTGTAGAGACTTAGTCTCCCGGCAAAGCGGTCTCATTGAATATGACACCTGCCAGTGGGACCCCTTCATCAATATTCTTTAGAGTTAGCTTATCCAACAATCTTATGTAATACAACGTATGCATATCTTGTTCGGCAGGCTTTATTTTTAAATTAGTTTATCTATTATAAAATATAGTATGTTATACTTTAAGGGTCATCTATCTATGACGTTCATAATTATAGGTTATAGGCTGTTCCAACTCAGTGTGTGGGGAGAAGGGTCCACGCTGTAGCCTACCTTCCTAACTGCAGTATGCTTGTAGGTTATCAAAACAAAATGCTGTTATCATGTAAACATCATGTAAATCATACATTTACACTTCTGTGCTCGCTTTTAAGCAACAGATCTTTTCTGTTGTAAATTAAACATTATCAAAACTTTAGAATTGGCGGAATATAGCGGTTAAGGGCTCGATTTGTTTGTGAATTAATGTTGGTTCATGAAAAACAATTTCATTCGGGCATTTAAAAGAGGTTAGAGTGGTATTGGAGGTAGGACAAAATGGTTACTTTTATGCCAATAGTGGTCATGCCATTCATTGGTCTGGAGCCAATATGTCGGGAGTCATTTTGTCAAAAGCCAATATGTCGGGAGCCCATTTGTCGGTAGACAATATGTCGTGAGCCCATTTGCCAGGAGCCCAATTGCCGTGAACCAATATGTCGGGAGCCCATTTGTCGGTAGAAAATATATCCTGAGCCTGTTTGTCAGGGGTTAATATGTCGGGAGTCCATTTGTCGGGAGCCTAAATATCGGGAGCCCATTTGTCGGGAGTCTATATGTCGCAAGTCAATATGACGGGAGCCAATAAGTCGGGGCCCTTTTGACGGGGCTATTTTGACTGGGTCGTTTTGTCGGCGGTTGATTTGACGGGGTCAAATTACCGGGGCCGTTTTGATGGGGCCGATTTGTCCCGGGCCGTTTTGACAGGGCACCCTATGGCTATGTTTAGGGCTAGTGTTAGGGTTAGCGTTAGGGTTAGTGTAAGGTTAAGTTTAGGTTTAGGTTTAAGTTTAAGTTTAGGTTTAGGTTTAGGTTTAGGTTTAGGTTTAGGTTTAGGTTTAGGTTTAGGTTTAGGTTTAGGTTTAGGTTTAGGTTTAGGTTTAGGTTTAGGTTTAGGTTTAGGTTTAGGTTTAGGTTTAGGTTTAGGTTTAGGTTTAGGTTTAGGTTTAGGTTTAGGTTTAGGTTTAGGTTTAGGTTTAGGTTTAGGTTTAGGTTTAGGTTTAGGTTTAGGTTTAGGTTTAGGTTTAGGTTTAGGTT